TCAAAATTTAAATCTCAAAATATAATTACTAAATTTACATTGGTCACACGACGAAATTTCAACACTGCAGATGATTCCTTAATTATGGTCATCCAATTCAAGTAACAATAGTTTATTTGAGAAATTTTATCTACTAATAAAAAATGCTCTTCTGTTCAAGATGCAGAATCTAATGCTGACAGTTCAAAAAGGCAAAGAAAAATCACTACACTTGATGAACATAATATACCTGACCCTCTTGTTGAAAAGCCAACCGAAAGTCAAATTATAGATGCTATAAGAAGAACAGGATGGGAACATAAAAAACTAGTTGATTACATATATCAACGTATAAAAAAGAAAAAAGAAATTATTTAAATAAATTATTATATTTATTATCTTTATTATATACATATTTAATAAAAATACATTGGCTCAAAGTAAACTTGGAATTTTTCAAATAAAATAACTTTTCTATTGATAATGAATGTTGTTGATACAAACAAGTAAAATCCTATTATTATATTAAAACCCTATAATTCTGTTATTTGAAGAATAATCTCAGAATTACCTTCTCAAATCTGTTGTATTCACTTAAGTACAAGTTTGTAAATATAAGACATAAGATAATAAAATACATATTTTTACATTCTTTGACAAAATAAAAAAATATTGTAAAAATTAAAAGTTACATTTGAAGAGAAAATTTGAATTTGAATTCTTTCGTAACATTACATGTAATTGCAGCAGATATGAAATGATCACTGGCTGATAATAATTATAATAACAGCATTACGGATCATATATTAATAATAATTATGACGAACATCTATAGATGAAATGTCAAAAAAAGAATCTTCTATTGAGAATTTTTTCAAGAGCAAAATTCTGCTTGATAAACCCTCACTTTGAAATTTAATAAGAATGAATGATTATAATAGAACTAAACTAACAAGAATTACTTTTTTTAGTAAACTAAAATGAATATTTTGAGATCCAACAAATCTGGATATAAGACGTTGAAAACCAATTATCATAACAACATGACCATTTAAAATGTCCATCAGGAAATTAATTTAGCGTAAACTTGCATAAATCTTACGATGCCGACGTAATATTGTGTAAATCTTACAGTGCCGACGTAAGTTTTACACTTTTTTATTATTAAACTTACAATTGACACGTGTAAAATTTTTTTATATTTTCCGGATGTCACAATAGTTAGGCGATTGTTTTATAAGAATTCGGGAATCTATGATACCTGGTTTACCATCTTACGCTTGCCCATATGCAATTTCACTCATATACTTTTTAACTTGTTCATCTGCAGATAATAAAATCTTATTTAATGTTGTAAGGTTTGGCTTATTATCTTTTTTTTTGGTCGCGTTTACTTCGTCGAAAATTATTTCGTCGACAATCATTTCGTCGAAAGTTTGTTTCATCGAATGTTCATTTCGTCGAAAATCATTTCATCCTCGAGCCAGAGACTGAACGAGTTAGATGTGAGGAGTGTGGGAAGTTAGTTAAGAAATTAGGTGAGGAAAGCGGGGTGTGTGGAAAGTGTGAGGAGAAATTTGTTTAAAGAAGTTTTTTTTTTGTGACAAAATGAACTTTTGATGAAACAAACTTTTGACGAAATGGGTGTCGATGAAATGAATCAGACCCACATACAATTAGAAAGTTCTAAGTTTCTCGTCATAGGTAATTTCTGTTCAACAATTATATCATGATCGGTTTCATAAAATTTTTTTTTTGTCTCTTCAAATATTCAATAAGCTGTCCTGTGCTATATTTTCGACCCAGCTCTTCCAAGATGCTTGCATCTTTCCCTTATATTATCTTGGCTGAAGTAGAAATCGGTGTAGTTATCGTATACGTATTTATGTTTTTGCAAAAAATCAAGAAAAAAGAGACGCGTTGATGAGACATGACACAAAACATGTTAAAATAATAAATACAAAGTTTGATTGTTCATTATGTATATAACTAGAGTGACGACGAGTGGCAATAACCACCACCACCATCCTTATGACAAACAACACTTACCCATATTATTTTTCAGCTTCGTTTTCTCCTTTTATTTTATTTTTGTTTTGTTTATACATTTTGATTAAAAGAAAAAATAAAAATTAGTTAAAAAAACGGGAACCGATTCTGTTAATATTAATATTAATACGAATATGTACTAGTACGGGACTTTATCATATTCGGATGAATTCAAATATTCGGTACTACATACCAAATAGCAATCATAACATAACAATAAATAAATGTACAATAATTTTTATTTTATTTGAATAAAAACGAAGAGTAATTTGAATAAAACGAATTTGAATAAAATGAATAAAAAGCGAATAATTTGAATAAAATGAATAAAACGAGTAATTCGAATAATAATTTGTATTGCGAATAGAGAAACTCTACTATTATAAACAAGATCCGAAATATTAATATAAAATTTTAATTAACGATTGATTTATTGTTCTTTCACTTGGTCAAAAAGCGACGTTAATCTTTTCTTTTAAAATTAATTTATATGAAATAAACAAAATAAAATAAAAAATAAAATAAAAAGATTAGAACACATGTCCAAAACACAATGTTATTTTAGCATTCTATTTGGAATGTAGTACCGAATATTCAAATGCGTAACGGGATATTCGAATATTCATGATCAAAATCACTTACTATCACTATTACACTAGGAATGTACACGGAAATCCCGTATTAGCATGTTAATTATAATATAATTTTTATAGAGAAGCGTGTTAAAATAGTAATTGAAGGCACACATATTAAAAAATAGAATTTCTGTGTCTCCATTAAATAATTAAATCTTTAAAAAATATTACAAAATCGCGAACGCTTTTGTACAAAAAAAACCCCCAATTTTTTTATGTGATCAATAATGTTAATAATTACAAGAAATGCCATGATAAAAAAGGCAACATGATTATTGAATATTCTCTCTTATGCACGCACACATGGAAAAATGCTCTTGAACAATCTGGGAATATCAAAAAGAGTCTATTTTATTGTTGGAAATTTACTTACAGGTATTGAAGTGTACCACCTTCAAGACTCGAATATTTAACATTCTCATCTTCCTAGCGTACAAAGTCTAATACGAACTGAGACACCCAATGATACAATGATGCAATTTAATTTTAGGTGGGATTCACAGCCTGAAGTTTATTGGAATTGTATTGTTCTCAATGAGAGTATTAAAGCCTCTCGCTTGTCTGAAGCCTCCTTCCTAGCTTGTTCGAGGGTCTTTTCTGTGGAAAAATTTATAATCCACATATAGGATTAACAACAACATCACCAACATATTTATTTATCCCTGGGACACACATTTTTACATAATTGAAATCATTTTTATTATTATCATTATTGCTGCTTGTATCAAGTGATTTACTTGTATCAAGCATTTTACTTACGTCAATTACGTCAAGTGGTTTTTATTTTAATCAAATCGTCAAAATAGCCCTGGTGAGAAACTATCTCTAGTTAGTTCTTTATGACTAAAGTCAAAAGTCTCGTCATACATCATTATTATGGGCAGAGATTTTTAAATAATAAAAATCCTCAGTTCGTTAAAAAAGGGTTGTTATACGGTGCAGATCATCTATAATCATTAATTGCTTATAGTAACAATTGGTCAACTTCAAAATACTAAAACAAAAAAAAATTATATCATTTTAAAAAATTTAACCGATAAGTTTTATTGTCCATGACTCAAGCTTCAAAACTTATCGGCTGGTTTTTTTTTAAACTGAAAATTGGCAGAGCCTTAGCATTTTGAAAATTCCGAATTTTGTTATACACTTAAGAAATTGAGACTAAGTAAATTTCGTGTAACAGCTTTTTTTTTTCATAGAATATTTTCTACAACATACATTTGATTTATTTGACTTATTTATTTCCTTTTTTTTTATTAATAAATAAAAGTTCTTTACAGCAAAAAAGTTTAACGAACATATTATATTAAAAGAAAATCATTACCAAATTTGGTCGTGAGATTCAAAATATTGTAACACGAAAATTATCGTTGCACTTCTGAGCATAACTTTCAAATTTAAAAATCTATGAAAAGAAAATTTGAAAAATTTTTTTTTTTTAGATTAATAGACTCCACTTTTAGAGCTGAATTGAATGGTGGTAAGTTTTTTAAAATCCAATGTGTGGATCACATAATATTTCAAAAAATTTAACTTTTGAGTATAGATGATCCGCACTGTATAACAAATCTCTGGAGCCTTTTAAGTTTTAGGAATAGCTATAATCAAGAAGAGCTTTATAATGGATTTTATTGATGAAATACCAGGGTTACCAGGATGAGAGTGGTTTTTAACCAAAAGTCCCATATAATGGGAAGGGCTTAATTTGGCCTGAAACTCGAGTTTGCCAAAGAATCCCAAGATATACCATGCATTATGAATGGCAGATACAGCTGATTAACAAAATTTATATATACCGGAAAAGGCTTTAGCATAAAATCAGCTGGAACTTGTTAACCAAAAAATTTCAAAAGTAAAATTACCCTGTTTGTTTTCCATTGCTATTGCTGGTGCACCAATATTCTCTAAACTTTTTACTCCACTTTACATTCTTTTAAAAACCTATATACCTACACAAACTATCAACACTAGTCATATATACTGGATAGTACTCTTAATATTAAAATGACCCTCCTGGTCAGGAAGATTTAACGAAATAATTGGTCGTGAATTATATGTTTTACATTTGTTAATTATCCTTGTTCATCGCTATATAATATACATAAATATTTTTTATTATTTAAATAAATTTTATCAAATGTACTCGTGTTGGTTAAAGTTGTGCGTGATTATTCACATCTGCGTGCAAAGTAATTGATATGCATGCATGTGATGAGTAAGACAGAAAAAACATATTGCGTAATCGTTTTTTTTTCTTCACGCTTTACTTACTATTACTTTGAAACAAATTACTTTTGTATGAAAAAGTAAAATTAATTAATAATATATAAATAAAAAATGTCTACTCTTGAAGATAAACTCCTTTGGGAAAAAGCTGACGAAGAAGGTTTGGAAGAGCTTGGTCAAGAAATTTTAAGATCTAGTACCGAAGATATTAATAATCGCACACGTTTACTTGACAATGAAATGAAGGTTATTATTACCATAGTTATTATTATCATGACCATGCTCAGAATTTAATTGATTGATTGATTTTATTATTGATTTATTGATTTGTTGGACGATTTATTGATAATTTTAATCTTAGAAATGTTTGCTTGCATATGTTTTTTTTATCATTAACAACATAATCATTTGATTAATTAGATGCTAAAGTCGGAACATGTACGTCTAACACATGAACAAACTAGTATGAGAGAAAAGATAAAAGATAATAAAGAAAAGATAAAAGTTAATAAACAATTACCATGGCTTGTTGGTAATATTGTTGAGGTTAGTTTGATTTTGTTTTGACTATTTAGATCTATTGGAAACATTTTGATTTATAGTAGTTAATCATTAGTACAAGTATTAATCAAAGATAATAATAAACCATTATTATTATAATTAATGATCAGTTGCTTGATATGGATCCAAATGATGAGCCAGAAGAAGATGGTGCAAATATAGATCTTGATGCACACCGTAAAGGAAAATGTGCTGTGATTAAGACATCTACACGACAAGTAAACTTTACTTTCTTTAGACTAATTTTCATTACTATTACATTATCCATTATTATAATTAAAATATTTTGTTTTAGACTATTTTCTTGCCTTTGATTGGTCTTGTTGATCCTGCTACTATCAAGCCAGGTGACTTGATTGGTGTAAATAAAGATAGTTATCTAGTATTGGACACATTACCAGCAGAGTAAATTTATTTATTAATTCATTTTATTTGCATTTAAAAAAAAAGTAGTAATAAATTATTATTTTATTTATAGGTATGATTCTCGTGTTAAAGCTATGGAAGTTGATGAGAAACCAACAGAAGATTATAATGATATTGGTGGTCTTGATAAACAAATTGAAGAATTGGTAGAAGCTATAGTTTTACCAATGACACATGCAGAAAGATTTAAAAATTTGGGTATAAAACCACCAAAAGGTAATCATTATTAGAAAAGATTAATAATATTAATAATGATAATAATAAATCAGTAGATTAATACTCTTGAATTGATTCAATTAGGTGTTCTTATGTATGGTCCTCCTGGCACTGGTAAAACGTTGCTGGCAAGAGCTTGTGCAGCACAAACTAATTCTACATATTTAAAATTAGCTGGTCCACAACTCGTACAAGTAAATAAATAGAAGGATTCATAATAATTAAATTAAAGAGTTATAATAATACTCAACATTTTATTTATTTTTATTGCTACTATTATTAATATTGTCATTAGATGTTTATTGGTGATGGTGCTAAACTTGTACGTGATGCTTTTAATTTGGCCAAAGAAAAAGCACCTGCTATCATTTTTATTGATGAATTAGATGCTATAGGGACAAAAAGATTTGATAGTGAGAAAAGTGGTGATCGTGAAGTACAAAGAACTATGTTAGAATTGTTAAATCAACTTGATGGTTTTAGCAGTGATGAAAGAATTAAGGTTTTATATTATTATTATTATTTTGTCAAAAAAAATTATCCAAGACAATATATATAATATATTGAATATTTATTTATTTAACTGTTAGGTAATTGCTGCTACAAATCGTATTGATATTTTGGATCCTGCACTTTTACGATCAGGTCGTCTTGATCGTAAAATAGAGTTCCCCTTACCAAATGAAGAAGCCCGTGCTCGAATTCTTCAAATTCATTCACGTAAAATGACTGTCGGTAGTGATGTAAATTTTGATGAATTGGCACGTTGTTGTGATGAATTTAATGGTGCTCAGTGTAAGGCTGTATGTGTTGAAGCTGGTATGTTGGCTTTAAGAAGAGGTGCTACTGAATTGAGTCATGAGGATTTCATGGATGGTAATTAATTATCTTTTTATAAAAGTTTTTTAATTATTATTAATATTGTGTTAATATAATTGATCTTTATTATTTTTATTATATAGGCATTCAAGAAGTTATGGCTAAAAAGAAAACTTCTTTACAATATTATGCATAAACACTGCTACTACTACATTTATTATTATTACTTACTATTTATAATAGATTAAATTACACATACTTTTATATATATTTTTGTTTTTATATTAATTAAAAATATTATTAAATATCAATTTTTCAATTTCATGATTAATAAACAAATAATGACAATGACGATACAAGTGGGAATATTGAAATCAGAAATCATTGATTCTTTCTTTAGAAGAGATTGAAAAATATATATAATCAATACTTAAAAAGCTGCGATTTACATTTAATTAATACTTTGAATTGTTCCAAATATTCTATAAGATTTTTTTTTTTTGAAATAGATTATCTGATGATGAATGATATTTATTATATATATACATTAACATAATGATAAAACAATTCTTTGAAAATCAAAAACATTTCAAAAAAATTAATAATAATAATCAACTATATATTTGCTACTTTGTAGCTTCATCAAGAATACAATTTTTTACAATACAAATAGAATGTCTAATTTTCTTTAACGGACAATACATTAATATAATTTTTTTCTATAATATGTACTTGTTGAATTTATTTATGCAGTGAGTGACAAGGTTTTATATTTTAATTAACTTAATTGAGTAATTCATCTGGTACAGTTAATTCAACCCGGTTGAGAATCTAAAAAAACATTTATCATAAGAATGAATGTTATTAATAAATATTGTTAATTTTAAAAATTAATAAAAATGAAATAATCAATAATTTAATGTTATTAATTACCATCATTATTGTCACTTTATTGGAATTCATAGGTTCGGGAAGGCTTGTAAATTTTAATGATTTGCTAGTATAAGCAAGCATTTGGATGAATTGTTGTAGTAATTGTCAAAAGATCAAATTTTTTTTCATCCATTTCATCAAAAACTTTTCTAATTGATTTTAATTCATCGTGCTCTTCTTTTGAATATCCCCATTTTTATTGCATTATCATCAAATGAATTATGCCAAAGAAAAATGATCCCGAAATTTTTGAACTAAAATAACAAATAAAATATTTAATTATAACAATAATATCTGGAAATTAACATTAATAAAATAATTACCTCATTAAGAAATTCATCAGAAATATTTGTGAAATATTTAGTTTTTTTAATGTCACAGTCATATCTTTACAAGTATTTTTTTATTAAAATGATTTATATTCTTAATCAAAGTAGCTTTGTATATATATAGTTGCAAAACCATCTTCTTGTTAAGTCATTACAAGGAATCCATTGAAGATAAAAATAATTATCAAATGTAGTTGTGTGCTTCTAATCAACTCATTTAATGTTTCATTGCCACTAGTCCATCCTTCAGCCAATAGTGCCCAATATAAGTATTATATCCATTGCAAAGAAAAATAGGAATGAAAAAAAAATTTGATCTACGTAATTTTTATTCCAAAAAAAAAAAAAATATAGTAATAGTGCAAGTCACAGTCCCGCAACTTTTTATTGGTCATGTAGGCCAAAAAAGTTTATCAAAAATAGACGAATTGAAACAAAATAAAAATTTGAATATTGCGGATCTTTTGTCACGTAAATTTTCCAGACGAACGGGAAGATAATTAATTATCTTTATCATTAAAAAAATTCAAAGTTCATTTATTATAATTTAATAAATAGATTATTGCATTGATTAAAGAATGTGCAAAATATACTGCTATCTCCCACCTAGCACCAAAAGTATATATTTTATGGAAGTATATATATACATTTTATTTCTATTGCTAATGATTTTAAGTTTAACTATATATATATAGATAAAAAATGGTATCATCAATCAACACAGCTATAATCAACTGTCTTGCATTGATCAAGAAATGCGCAAATGATGTAATTATTAATATAATAAATTATTTTGTAGACAAGTAGTCTAATTTATCACTATATAAAACATATAAATAGACCCACTATCCCCCACTTAGCACCAAAAATATATTTCGTGGGAATACACTTTGTTTACATTACTTAATATCAATATTTTTATTTCAAATTTAACTAGATAACAAATGGTACCATCAATCAACACAACTAAAATCAACTGTCTTGCATTGATTAAAAAACATGCAAATGATGTAATTATTAATATAATAGATTATTTTTGTGGACAAGAACATATAAATATTATATACTAATTAATATGAATATTTTATTTCGAATTTAACTAGATAACAAATGGTGATGCCAAAATATATATATTTCATGGAAATAAATTTGGAATTTTATTATATTTAGAAAAAAAAGTAAGTTACATTAATAAATTAATAAATGAATAAATGAATAAATGAATAAATGAATTAATGAATCAATAAATTAATGAATAAACAAATAAATAAAAATAAACAATTAATTAATTAATTAATTCATAATAGATTCAAGATCATGCAATACACTGTTAGGAATTCTTCTATGGGAGCGGTATTTCTTTACTGCATATTCTGCAGCAACAAGAGTCAATCCTTTTCTGTATACCTGAAAGATCTACATGCATATTTTCTTATAGATGAAATTGGGATAGAGTCCAAGGCCAAAGGTACTGTTCTCAAAAGTCCATTCCAAGTGTAATCACAATTTTCCCTTGTATATCTTTTAGCTGCACCCAATACATCTCAATAAAATTTAATTCACAATGGAACTTAGGGTAGAGGATCACCATATGTCCCATTTCTTCAATCTCTTCTTGGATGATTCCTTTTGTGCTTGGAAATCAGGTTCTAGTTCTAATATTTTCAAACCACAACAATTTGACTTTTTATTTTGATCCCTTGATTTCCTAGTTTTACACTCAGAACATACCTTTCTCAAACCATCCCTATATAATCCCCTTTCTACTAATACTGATTTCATTCCTTTTTGTTTTCCTCTTAAATTTACTTCAATATAGTCATCAGGGTAAACCATCTTTTAGATCCTACCATTGAACACAGTGTCTCTCATATGTGGTTGTTTTCCACCATCATTCCAACCCATTTTGGATGCAACTAAAGCATCATCTGCAAATGCTGCATGACTAGTTGCATTATCAAAGGCAAATAGTGCCACATGATCTTGGTGTGTTGCTTCAAAAATCGGAATTGCCTTTTCTTTTATTTGTTTTAATAGTTTATCAGTGTTCCACCATCCTCCATCATTACTCCCTGGCGTAAGATATTCAAAGCTATGTGAAGGTAAATTAGGAAACTGGACTTGCTGGCTTTCATTTAATTGCAAAGGTCCAATTGTTTCTGTTAAAAATCCACTAACATGATATGTCTTCCCTTTTCCTTTTTTTCTTAACAGATTTTCACCTGATGGTCCCCAACCTGCACTTTTACCTTCATTTGAATAGAAGGTTGATTCATCATGTGTTACTAAAATTCTCATTTTAGTATCATCTTTTAAAATAGGATCAACTCTATCTTCTAAATTGACACCCTCAAATATTGGAGCATAAGGTTCATATTCCTCTTCCATAAATTTTAAAAAGTTACTTCTATATTCCACAACATCAGGTCTCTCATGACCATCAGCATAATAACCCCTTTTTGTAAGTATCAAACTTCCATCCCAATTTTTTAAGCAATCTTGCAGCAGTTGATTCTGATATTTTTTATTTTCATTTTCCACTCCTACTTGAGGCAGTATTGTATCATTAATATATTCACATAATTTTTTAGGTGTTATTTCAAATTTGTTGAATCTCAAATGGCATCCTATTTGAGCGGCAATGTCATCATCATCCAATATGCTCTTCATCTTGGGATGTTTTCCCCTCCTAGAAGTAGGTACTGTTTTGCTTTTGATCCACTGATTAGCCCAAACTCTAATACACCTCCCTTTATATATTTTTGCCCACCCTAGAGACACTGCCACTGTTTCACTTGCTTCAACCCGTTTTTTACCATCACCCAAATGTCTAAAATACATTTCAACTGCCATTAATCTGGTCTTTACATCGTTGGTTAAGTTGGGTCTTTTAAGAGCTTCTTCAACAGAACTTATTGCATTTTTCTGGTCATCATCATCATCTGCTGATTCATTACTTTCCAAATTTTCAAGTTGGTCTCTACTAGAAGTTTGATAACCAAAAAAATTGGTGATTTTGGAAGTTCCAACAGCAGCATCTTTCAACTCCTTGGCATGTCTCCGTTGCGTTCGCATTGAATTTCCAAGATAAAAAGACCTTGAAATGGATTTTTCTTTGGAAGCCACCTTCGCCTTTTCATGTATATATAAGAATAATAAAAATTATTCAGTGTCACAACTCTCATCACCGTCGTCGTTTACCACTGTTTCATTCTCATTATTATCACCATCATTTTCAATGTTGTATGAATTTTCTACTGCATCCGTATAACCTTTATTGTTGCTGACAACTTCGTTCATTGTATGTACCAGTTTCGTTGCCCTTGGTGTGCTTGATTCTTCCTGTGGGTCATTGTCTGGACTTCTTTTTTTATCCGACTCCCTGATGTAATTTGTGGTCTTTCTCTTGCTGTTGGAACTCATGAATTGTTCCTCAAAATCCAGATGTTTGGATTTTAATGCTTTGCGTGGGGATTTCTTATCATCGTTGTTGTTGGTCTTTTCAACCCTCGGGTAATTTCGCTTTATCAATTATTCAAATAATTATATAGGCGGGCTTGGTAGAAGTAAGTGTTAAGTCAAGGTCTATTTGCAAATCAAGTTTCCAAAATGAATGTTTATTATTATAGGCGGGTTTAATCAAAGTAAGTCTTAAAGTCGAGATTTACGAAGCTGTTTGTAGAATATATTTAATTAATGTTTTATTATTTATTAATTATTCTATAACTATATAGGCGGGTTTGATCAGTTAAGATCTATATAATTAGATTGTTAATAGTTAATAATGGAATTTTATTACATGCAAAAAAAAATTTTTGAGTTGTAAATTTTGTTTTATTAAATAAATTTTTTCATTGGGGACCAAATAATAAAATCAAATAGTAAGGATTTTGTGTCACGTAAACATGCAACATTGCGTAATGAAAAAATTTTG